AAAAAAAGATATACATGTCAAAATCAATAACAAAAGCAATGAGACTACACAATCAAATCTCTCAAACATCTTACTTTAATCCATACCAATCTTTTACTTATCTGTTTTCTATTCTATCCATTCCTTCCTCCAATTGTTAGTAATTATTTTAAGGGGAAATAAAACCTGTCTGTAATTGTCATATTAGTTTGTCCTTTCTAATTTATTTACTATCCGTTTGTTGTGACTGCCGTCTTTTTCTTATTCCACCTCTCTTAAGTATAACTCTTGATTTGCTTTTTGTCATTTCTCTTAAGAAGTTATTTTCTTTACAACTGCAAGTTTTGCTAACTTCCTTTTTGATTCTTTTTTGCAACGCCATTTATCTTTACAATATTCTATAAAAGTTTCCCAGTCTTTTTCAGTTTCTTCAAATATAGCTTTCTATTTAAATTACAAAGGAAAGTATTGTGTTTAATTTTTCTACTCTTGTATAACATCTGTGTAAAATAACTGGATTGCTATTTTGAGGGAATTAATGTGGGTGGTGGTGGTAGTAAGGGATGGCACTGTAAATCTTTTTTAAATTAATAAAAATATTTTTTTTAAAAAGCCAAGGAATGCTGGATTCTTGGCGTCTGCAGAATTGCGCATGCAAATGCATGGCAAAGGGCTGCTGTTCTTGAACCGAATTACTTCTAAAACCACCCCATTTCTTTCTCCTGCCAAACAGGATCACCCCCAGCGACCGGGACTGGCACCGTCCTCTTGACTTTGGAGGACGTGAACGACAACGGTCCGGAGCCTGAACAGCGGGAGATCACCGTCTGCAACAGCAAGCCAGAGCCCCAGTTCTTGCGCATTTTGGACAAGGACCTTCCGCCCAACACCTCCCCGTTCCACGCCGAGCTCACCCACAATTCGGACGAAAATTGGTCCGTCGAGATGGACGACAAAGGTACGGAGGGGCTTAGCAGGGGATGGGTGCCTCTCGGTCTGGTTAGACCAAGGCTCTATTATCCCCTGCGCCAGTGGCATGAACCCCTGTGCCAGGGATCACCATTTATTAGCAATATCAATACAGTATTCTTCATCATGGCATAGTGGTTTGAACATCGAGTTAGGACTCTGGAGACCAGGGTTCGATTCCCCATTCAGCCATGGAAAGCTACTGGGTGGCCTTGGGTGTGTCACACGCTCTCAGCCTCAGGGGAGCCGACTGTAGTCTGAACTTTTCATTGAGATGAGGATTCAGATTAAAACCTTAAACATATTCACCTCTCGCACTGAAATGGAAGCTGTTATCCACCGCTATTTCCCCCTGGAAGCACATGGCAGGTGGGTGCGCCAGGTGTTGTCCTCCATCCCTTTCCTAATGGCGCACCTGCCTATGCTTTGCCAGGTGAGACAGCCATCTTGAAGCTGCTGACGCCCCTCAAGCAAGAAATGTACGACGTTTACCTGCGGCTGTTTGACAACCAGAACAAGGCTCAGCTGACGGTCCTCAAGGCAACTGTCTGCGAATGCGAGGGACCGGTGGATCGCTGCCCAGAGAAGCAGTTGGCTGGCATTGGGGCACCCGCCATCTTGGCCATCCTAGGGGCCATTTTGGCTCTGTTGAGTAAGTGTTGGATTGTATTATTATTATTATTATTATTATTATTTGCACCGTCTGCCAGGAGCTGCTGCAGTTTTGGACTATCTGTGGTTCAGATTTTATCCAAGAATCTAGGAATCAGGGCTGTAGCATCAGATAGCGCATTCTGGTCGGGTCCAAACACTTTTTGCAATTGTGCAATCCTATCATTCAGATGTTTTGTTGGCCTGTTTGGAATTGCTTTCAGAAACCTTTCTATTATTATTATTATTATTATTAGAGTATCCCTTATACAAATGCTCTCAGCCTCAGGGGAAGGCAATAGCAAACCTCCTCTGAAGAAATCTTGGCAAGGAAACCCCGTGATAAGTTCGCCTTAGGATCTCCATAAATCAGAAAGAACTTCAAGGCACACAACAACATCAACGACAACAAAATATTTATTAAGATCTGATAGTCTTAATGCCACATAATAACTAAATAATATTAGAGCTATTAATTATTTTAATAATAATAATAATTTATATCCCGCTCCCCTGTAGAGCAATCAGGGCAGCGTACAGCATTAAAATTACCATACAAGTAAATACAATACAATATAAGAACCGCCCAACAATTCCAAAACCCACCCACCCCTTAAAAAAATATTAAACAGAGATGCATTAAAACATGTTTAAAATGATCTCTTCCAGACAAAAATGTTATTATTATGGGTTAAGTATCCCTGATGCAAATGCTCTCAGACTCAAGGGGAAGACAATGGCAAGCCTCCTCTGAACAAATGTTGGCATGAAAACCCCATAATAGGGTCGCCTTAAATCAGAAACAACTCAAAAAAGGAAAACAACAACAACAAATTCCTTTTGCAAAATGCTTGGGAGCAGAAGTTTTCCATATTTCAGATTTTGGATACCTGTATTTGCTCATACACAATGATACATAATGATGCCGGAGAGAGAGACTGAGGAAATGGCAGGGTTCCCAACATTTCATGGATTCTTGCAACTCAATCTGGTCCACTCCCCTTGGGAACTACAATTCCCAAGGAACCTTAAAAAAGAGGGGCTGAGAGGTAAATCTGAGTATTTAGGGGACTGTAGTTTGATGGCGGTGCACTAATGTTCTCTAGCAAGAGAAATACTAAGTGCCAAAACTACAGGTCCAAAAATTCCATCTGGTGATGCTGTGGGAATTTAAAGTGGTATGAAACTGGTATCAATCTGTAGAGCAGACACACTTTGTTCCTCTTGGTCTGTTGACGCAAGAGAAGCAACCACTGACTTTGTTCTCTTTCTGGCCATTTCCAGTCTTGCTGCTTTTGCTTCTCCTGTTCGTGAGGCGGAGGACGGCGGTCAAGGAGCCCCTTTTGCTGCCGGAAGAAGACACCAGAGACAACATCTTCTACTACGGAGAAGAAGGAGGTGGGGAGGAAGACCAGGTGGGTGTCCCTGGACCATGGTGCCTCAGATGAGGAAGGCTGGCCCCACATCCATAGGGCACCAATTCCAGTTTTGGCCCAATCATTACGTGTTTTGGGGAGGGAGCAATGGGAGTGTGGTAGCCAACGGGAGCAAATGCGGTGCCACATTTTTGTTATGGTGAGATGGAGCTTTGCTGTTGGGAGATGAAGGGCTATGGAATCGGTGGTCACATTTGCCCAGTCCAGTCATTCCCTAAACTCTGGTCCTCCAGGTGTTTTGGACTTCAGCTCCCAGAAGCCTCTTGTCCAATGATCTGGGATTCTGGGAGCTGGAGTCCAAAACACCTGGAAGTCCAGAGTTTGGGAATCACTGAGTTAAAGAGATTGCTCAAAAAGTCAAGATAAGCGCGGAAAAATGCCACAGAATGAAGGCTCAAAGCCAGGGAAAGATGGAAAATTGGGTAGGAGGGGAAGGAGAAAGGTGGATGATGATGATGATGATGATGATGATGATGATGATGATGATGATGATGATAGGGAGCCCTGCAGAGGAGGACATGGCTGGAATAGTAAACCCAAAGCATATTATCAGGCAATACCTCTGTTTCCGTTTTCCGACATGTCTTCCTCCGAACCGGGGGCAGGCAAATGCAAGCAGGGGATGTTCAGATCTTCCCCCAGCCAAATAATGGCTTTATCTTCCATGGTCTCTAGTCCCCAAACACCCCCAGATGTTGTTGGACTGCATCTCTCAGCCACTAAGTCCCACAGTGAGGAATGCTGGCAGTTGTAGTCCAACAGTGTTTGCACAGTAACCAGCCCTAGGCTGCATCCATGCTGCAGAATTAAAGCAATTTGGCACAATTTTCCATGACTCTTATCTTACTCTTATCCTGAGATCTGTAGTTTGGAGAGGCACCAGAGCGCCCTGAGAGACTAGGCTGAATCCCTCACCAAACTACAAATCCCATGATTCTGTAGGATAGACTCATGGCAGTTAAAGTGGTGTCAAACTGGCTTAACTCTGCAGTGTAGATACACCGCAGCCTGGACACACTTAAGTCCTCCTGAAAGATGCACTCTCCCCTTTGCAGCACCTTCTGGTTAACCCTCCAAGGCTGTCCAGCATCACAGCCATCTTTCTCTCTCTGCCCCCTTTTCTCCCAAAGGACTATGATCTAAGCCAGCTGCACAGAGGTCTGGACGCCCGTCCGGAAGTCGTCCTGAGGAACGATGTGGTGCCCACCCTTCTGCCTGCACCGCAATACCGCCCGCGTCCTGCAAATCCGGATGAGATTGGCAACTTCATTCATGAGGTAAGGTGGGAAGGAGAGGTGACTATACAGGGAAGGGAACAAAACAGAAAGTGGTGCCCAAAATTCTCTGTTTTGTTTCTGCAGTCATAGAATCCCTTCATTGGAAGGGACCCCAAAAGGTCATCTAATCCAACAATCTACAAGGACCTCTCATTCATGGGCATCCACCCCTCTGCCAAAAAAAGAAACTCCAGCAAAGGAGAGTTGGAAGTGACTTAGAGAGTTGGGTATTTTTACCAAATTGTGGGAAATCTGGCTCTTGGTGACCGTTTGTGTTGTCAGAGAGCTGCGGATCATCAGGGATATGTCCGGCTATTTCCTTGTAACTTGAAGGCATTGCAACAGGGATCCATAGGGACCCCAGGGTTTCTTTTGGAGATCCATCCCTTGCAACATGCCCAGTTACAGGAAAATGGCTGGATGGGTCTTAGCTGATCTCCCTGCTCTCCAACAAGGAAATGCAAGGGACGGGGTTTGCACAGTCAGGGCAGACCTCTAATCTCCTCAATAACTAAGAAAGTGAGTTGCAAGGACAATACACCATCATAGTTCACTAACAGGATTCCAGCCTTTGTTACCCCTTGGTGGTGGTGGTTGTGTGCCTTCAAGTAATTTCTGACTTACGGTGGTCCTATCATAGGGTTCTCTGGGGTTGAGAGTGTGTGGCTCACCACCCAGTGGGTTTCCATGGCTGAGCAGGGATTCGAACCCTGGTCTCCAGAATCGTAGTCCAATGCTGAAACCACTGCACCATGCTGGTTGGGGCTGGACTTAAGAGAGCCTTTTGACCACTGCTTGGAAGATATGGTTTACTGTGACATAGTGGTTTGAGTGTTAGGCTACGACTCTGGAGACCAGGGGTTGGTTCATAGCTTGACCATGGAAATGATCTTGGGCAAGTCGCATTCTCTCAGCCTCAGGGGAAGGCAATAGCAAACCACCTTTGAACAAAATATTGGCAAGAAAGTTCATGATAGCTTTGCCTTAGAGTTGCCATGAGTTGGAAATCTCTTGAAGGCACACAACAACGACAACGTCCGTCCTTCCTCCCTCCCTTCCTTCCCGCAGAACTTGAAGGCCGCTGACACGGACCCCACGGCGCCTCCCTACGACTCCTTGCTGGTTTTCGACTACGAAGGCAGCGGCTCGGAGGCCGGTTCCCTCAGCTCCCTCAACTCCTCCAGCTCGGACCATGACCAGGACTACGACTATTTGCACGAATGGGGCGGCCGCTTCAAGAAACTGGCCGACCTGTACGGCGGAGGCGAGGAGGAGAACTGAGGATGGGTCAGGAAGACGGAGGGGCGTCATGGCTTCCTTACCCCTGCAATTGGGGTGGAGGAGCCTCTGTAAGACCCTGGAGACCCTCCTCGTCCTTTACATTTGGCAAATGGTACTGTCATGGCTGCTGTTTGTATGCCAAACTCACATTGTCTCCGTCCCGCGCCCTTGCCGGTGACCGTGGGACTTCTTCTTGACCCCAAAGGAGATGAGCCTCCTTGAAGCCATTTGGGGAGGAGAGCCCAATCTTGCCTCCTGACTTAGCATTTCACTGAACTCACAGAAGGTGCCTCTGAAGGCCTCCTGGCCAGAAACACAACTCCTAATGCTGCTTCCCCTCTTTTTTGAGCGTACCTCTTCCCTCCCTTCCTTCCTTCCTTCCTTCCTTCCTTCCTTCCTTCCTTCCTTCCTTCCTTCCTTCCTTCCTTCCTTCCCAAATGCCTCCGGATGCAAGTGCTGTCCCTTCCTTCTTACAAGGAAGCTGGGGCTGGGCACAGAGGCCCCAAATGATTGCCTGGTTTCTATGGGGCCAGAGATTGCCCACTTCTTGCCAGTTGGGCAGGGGCCTGGGTTGACCTTGCACCACCGTAGAAGATGCAGAGAGGGACTTTGGAGGGAGCTGGTGTGGGAGATACAGACAGACAGGTAGGGGTGCAAGAAGGCATCCTGGGGTGCGTGTGTGTGTGTGTGTCTTGTAGTGGACATCCTGCCCAAACGCTGCCCCTTCCTCTGCCCACTGGACACCTGCCCTATATCATTTGCTCAACCTGGCAAGTGATGGCAATCCTCTCCTCCCCATCCCTGAAACTCTAATGCTGCCTCTTTTTAAAATAATAATAATAATGATAAGCATATCCTAAAGTGTCCCTAGGTGAGTTGTGGGATTTATTTTCTCTCTCTCTCTCTCTTTCTTTTGTACTGTGTATAAAATAGACTTCTGCAGTAAAGCTCTAAAGGATTGGACAATCAGGGTGTAAAAGTTTTAATAAAGGATTTTCTTCTTTTTATATAAATATATATATATATAAACCTTGAGTATTCTGCTTTGGTTCCACCTCTGGTACATATTGTTTGCTTGCTGTATGCCTTCCATTTCTGACTAATTTCATTGATTGATTGATTGATTGTATATATACCTGACTCTTTAGACATGCTCTCAGAGTGCCTTATGGTGATGCTATGGTGAACTTACCACTGGGTTTTGTTGGCAAGGGTTTGTTCTGAGGGGGGTTGCCTTTACCTCCCTTTGTGGCTGAGAGAGTGTGACCTTGGCTAAGGTTACCCAATGGGTTTCCCTATCCAAGTGGGGATCTGAACCCTTGTCTTCCAGAGTCCCAAGTCCAACAGTCAAACCACACTGGCTCAGGAAAGCATGTTACCCTGACAATAATAGAAAATTACACATTAAAGACTCATGCCACAACCTTCATTGGGGTCAGGACCAACAAAGCCTCCCAGTCCAGCTGCTGAAGGGGAAAGGCCATTTCGGAGGCCCTTTCGTATGGGGGCAAATTGGGGGTGAGGAGGGAGCTTTTCTCTCCCACAAAATGCCCTTATCTCTGCTGAGCCTCAGCTGGGTTCATTTGTTTGGGAGAACAGCAACCTTGGTTGGCGACTGTTTGCTTTGGGAAGGGAAGGAGGGAGGCTTGTTATATGATCCTTGAGCTGCCATGGATGGGAAATTCTGCAACGAAGCGAGCAAACGAAGCACAGGTGGCCAAACACTTCTTAGTCAATGCGGGGATGGGAAGACCGGGAGACAATCGGGGCCTCCTTCCCACTTATAAATAAATCATTTTGCGATCCGAATCAATGGATCAGTTCGACAGCGGAGCGTGGTTCACGCTACATTATTGCGTGTTCTTTGTTGTAAAATAACCCACTTGTTGTTCGCATTGACTAATGAATTGGTTCAAAATGGACTCTCTTCAGCGGGTTGCTGACTGACCACATCATAGGAAATCGATTCCGATCCGCGTCTCGTTCACACTTGGCGCTGAATCAATTTATTGCAAAAGACATGGGAAAAATGGGCCTCATTCCCACTGTGTTATAAACTGGTTTGCTAACTGGTTTAAAGGACCCTTGTTCTCACTTGAGCCAAATTGCTGAAGCCATTTGGCAAGGGGGGGCCTGCGCTAAACTCATTTAACATACATCTTTTGGATACTCTTTTGCAATTGATTCAGCGCAAGTGTGAACCAGATGCAGATCAGAATCCCCATAGCCCCAAATTTTGCATTCCTATGGCTATATTGGCACAGTCTGATTATCAAGGTCCTTCCGGGGAACCAGTTCATTCCATGCATTTGAGGAAGGAGACCAAGTTTACGGAAGCTCATATTACAACATCTTTTGTAGACATGCTGGATTCCAAGGAAACATCATCTTTGGATTGCAAATGGACATTACATTTCCTTGGCTTGCAAAATTTCCCAGCGACCGCATGGCCAAAAAAGGGAGAGGAGCCAGCCTGCAGATAGCCCTCCGCTAACATCTGAACTGATATCAGAAACAGAAAATGCAGTCCCAAGACTAACATCTTCATTTTTTATTCTCCGTTTTGTCTGATGAAGAAGCTGGTGTGACTTCGAAAGCTTGCAACATGTAATTGTGCATTTTGTGCCCAATAAAGGTATCATTGTTAGGATGTTATTGCTATATGGCCAACACAGCTACCTCTAGATGTTTTTTACAACTTCTTTTGTACACTTAGGCCTATACAGACTGGCAGAAATAATCCATCTTGAGACCATTTAAACCACCCTGGCTCAGTGCTAGGGAATCATGGGAACTGTAGTTTATTGTGGCACCAGAGCTCCCTGACAGAGAAGGCTCAATGTCTCAGAAAAAAAACTACAATGCCCATGATTCCCTAGCATTGAGCCAGGGTAGTTGAAGAGGTCTCAAGATGGATTATTTCTGGCAGTCTGTTCAGGCCCTTAGTCTCAGAGGTGCTGCAAGATCCCTTTGCATATGGATATTCCGGATTAAGATGGTCCTGTCTCTGAATCCTAAGAAGAGGAAGGTTGGCACTGGAACAGTTTGGCCACCACCACTGTTCCCAGTGGCACCAGTGACCTCCCAGTTTAGCTAAAGGGGGCATTGTTGTTCCGCTCTCTTCCTCCTCTCCATACCTTTTCCCCAACAAGTGCCCACCTGCCCTGAGCACCCTCCTCCTCCACACCTGAGTCCCTGATGGGAACTGAAACCCAGGGAAGGGAAGGGAAGGGAAGGGGGGCTCCTCTGGTTTCACTGCTGCCTCCAGTCTCACTTGCAAGACTGGTTTTTCCTGCTGCAGCCCCCCTTCCATCCTCATCCCTCCCTCCCTCCGCCTGAAGCCACTTATGGGTCAATGCCAGCCAAAGGGTAGGCTCTTGCTGGGGAGAGGAGGAGGAGAGCACCTTATTCCTCATTTCTTTATTGCAGCACTTCTATCCCATGACAGCCAATCTGGCACAGTTGTCTGAATACAGGACTGGGAGACTTGGGTTCAAATCCAAACTCAGCCATGGAAATGCACTGGGAGACCTCGGTCCAGTCCTATTCTCTCAGCCTTAGAGGAAGGCAATGCTAGCAAACCACCTCTGGAGAAATCTTTTGGGAGCCAGTGTTAATAAAATGTATTTATACCCTGCCTATTTGGAAATCCAAAGTGTTAGACCAGGACTCTGGGAGATCAGGGTTCAAATCCCAGTTCAGCACTGGGAACTTACTGGGCGGCCTTGGGAAAGGCACATCCTTTTCTCAGCCTCCCAGGAAGAAGGCAAGGGCATCCCTGAATAAATCTTGCTGAGAAAAACTCAGTGATAAGTTTGCCCGAGGGTTGCCATAATTTGGAAACAATTTGGAGGAAAATATCAACAACAACTTGATTGCAGGATCTCAGGGTAGTTAGTGTTCAATATCAACAATTCAAAGTGTTTGCAGATTAACGGTGTAAACGATTTGGACAAAGGTAAAAACATATTAAGCATAGTATCTGACAGCCAGCCTCAAATCAACCTCTTTAAAAGCAACAGTTAAAACCATTTTGAAAACTGCAATAATTAAAAACCATTGCATCTGAGGAAGGAGAACAAGTCTACTAAAGCTTTGGCTATAACTAGTACACTCTCTTTCTTAAAATAATAAAATTTATGTTAAAATATAGTACTAAAACACTAAACAGTAAATACTGTTTAGTAAAATCCAAAAGGGATCTGACCTCTCCCAATCCAAACTGTAATGAAAGAAAGAAAAAAACCCCAAAAGAAATATATTTTATTTTAGCATTACAGATCCAACTATTTAGACTTACTAGAGTTCTTAGTAAGCGGAACCACAGATTATAGATTTCTTATTGCTAAAATATTCCATTAACGGTTTCTAGCCTTTTGCAAAGTCTCCAATTAGTTTATCCTTTAAGAGAAGGCCCACATTAATTTGGTCATTTGGGCCCCAAGCTGTTTATTGCTTTAAATGTCATCGCTGGAAGAT